ATATAGTAGTTAATATACTTACACTGTAAAAGATATTGTAAATAGAAAATATGAAAGCATTACCTCAAATAATTGTAAGAATATGCCCATTTATTGCATTGTTGTACAGTATAGTTGTTATTGTCTTAACAACATATATTAATGAGAAAATTACACCAGTTTTCATATTTTTTTGTGTTCAAGTATATTTGAATTGGTATTCGGTATATGCTATAAGTCACAATGCAACAACTGTAGAAGTTAGGCCAATGGGAAAGAAATTATTAGTATACCATAAGGTAGCAAATAATACAGATTATAAATATTGGTATTGTGAAAAATGTAATAATTACACATGCAAACCAACACAACATTGTATCTTTTGCAAAAAGTGTTTCCATTTTCGAGATCACCATTGTTTTTTCTTAGGTACTTGTATACTAAGACAAAATATAGGTAATTTCATTTTATTTTGTTTTTACACATCATTAACATGCATATACTCATTATGTATTCTTGGGCCATATTTATATGAGAATATCAATCATGTAATGAAAGCAGACACTTTCAATATATTTTTAAACTTCTGTTTTCCTATTGCTCTTGTCAGATTGTTGCATTCTAGAGAAAACACTTACATATTACTAGTGACAGTGTTTGACATATTGGTTTCTATTTTGTGTATTTGTCTAGTATATGCAACATGGAAACTGCATAGTTGTATGACAGGTAAGCAACGGTATGCTAACATATCTGGGAAGCAAAATTTGAAAGAAATTTTTGGTAGTTATGGTCTTTCAAACATTATTTTCCCATACAATGGTCTTATAGGAACTAGAGATCTTCACGGAAAATATGAATTAAAGCAAGTTTAGTAATATATTTAAGATCTACGTGTATAAGTATAATGAAAAATGGAAACACTTAAGAACTTTGCTTGAGATAATAAACTAATGATAAAAATTATGGTTATACATTTTTTATATACATGTATACGCGTAAAACCAAATACACCTTTATCTATTATTATAAATTGTATTATATTGTAATGAATATCACATATATTTAATACATTTACACATTTATACAACTGCACAAATCATACTGCACTCTCCATACAAATTTTCATAAATACATTTAAACTATTTGCATATATGTTATGAAATAACTTTCTGTCACTAAATTCATATGCATAATAAAGATTATGATCGAAACAATCAGAATTATTAATTTTATTTGGCTCTTATTTAGATCATAAAAATAGGTAATAATGTTTTGCTTGTATAAAATTTTGCTTGAAAATTGTTAACGATGACATTAATTTCTTATACATGTCTAGTATATCATATTATGTTGTATATTACCATGGAAAATCTTTCTGTACAAAAATGTAGAATAATCAGATACTTGTAATGGAATTAAAAAAAAAATTAATGTAGCTTTTTGCAATTTTTGAATTTATGATGGAATTATTGTTAATGATTATTACCATAAAAAATTCTGTATCTAACTAAGAAATTTGTTTTATAACTCTGTATGTATGTGATGTTGGGCTTTAAAGTCATTAGGATGAATAAATACTCCTTCAGTTGTTACCCATTCCACATGAGGAGAGTTAGAAAAATATTCACCTACTACTTCAGTCTGTCCTGCAATTGGATTGCCGTAGACTTTTCCACTTACTGCTAAATATCTATTAAATTAAAACATGTTTAAACATTTAGAACATTTTTTCCTATATCTAATACAGAAAATAGATATAACTTACGTATCTGTATCTACATGTTTTAATATAATAGGCTCATCTCTTCTCCAATATTCAGTTTCACATACTAAAAGCCAATTGTCTCCATTATCACCTTCTCCTTTGCTGTCACCATAAGCAGATATTTCTTGTTTCCTGCTAATAGGTGACTTGACATGATGAGAGTGCAGATTTTTCCTTGTTGCTATATGTTCTAATCTTATGATATCACCACATTCAATTGGCACACTATTAAAAATTATTATTATTACAAAATGAATTGTGTTAAAATAAAAATTTTAAATTATAAATACATTAGTATATTTAATAACATACCCTCTAGTACACTGTTTCTTTGTTCCTGCTTTTACAAGCCAATAAGAATTTCCATCTTCTATTGAAGAAGTACCTGTTACTGATTGTTGGCCACTGCCACTTCCATACTTTACATCATGTGAATGTAATCTTACTTTAAACTCCACATTCATTAGTTTCAAAGCAGACCCACATGTCACATGTTCTGTTCCTTTAGCTGTATATGTATACATAATCCCTTGTTTATAAAGTTTACACAAATAACTTTTCTTAAAATTAATGCAAAATTATATTACATAAATATTTTATATCTATTATTAACAAGATAATGTTTACGAAAATGTTTGGATTTAAAACGAAACTTCAATTTTTTAATAAATTTTTTATAGGTTAGCAAAAAAATATCACTGATTCTAATAAAGTAGTATTTTATAATAATGAAAAACAAAAATTGTATAGAATATAAGATACATTAGCATACCCTATTAGATACAATTAAAAACTAAAAACATTTCAAAATATACAATACTTGATTTTGACATTTCATAGAGGATACGATAAATATGGATATACCTTTTACAGAACTAGTCCAAAGTGCAAGTATCATAAATGAAATAACACATGAGAAATAAACGAGGTGTTCCCTCATTTTTAAAATAATAATAAAATGTTTAATTTGCGAAGAAACAGAAGCTGAAAGTTCAATACACGTGTATACATCTATGTACGTGTTAGCTTCTTATTGGTGTAATATGACTGACTCAGTGGTTCTCAATTTTTTATAATAATGTTAAGTTACACCACAGACGAGGTACAGAATAGAACTATTATAAGTAACAATAAATATTATATCACAGAATAATCGATAAAAGTTTCATCGAAAAAACCATGGTTTATTTTCTTTGAAAATAAAACGATAGAATTTTCCGATCAACCTAATGTAGAAGTTTAGAATTCTATACTTCTTATTCTATGCTGAATCGGTAACGTTGAAAGCGACGCGAAAATAGTAAGGGGGCTCTAGAGCCCCCGTGACATAGAAAAAAAGTTCATTGGGTGATAGGTCTATTCTATACCACATCTGTGGTTACACATTTATGATTTTCTAATTATGAAATTAATTGCTGTAATTATGAAAATTTGTAAATGTATCATGAATAGTTCGATAAAAGAAAACTGAATGAAATAATTACAAAAATAACATACAGTGTGTAGTATGATGTAAATTTATAATTTGTAATAAGAAAGGGAAAGGAAAAATGCGGATGTAGTTATAAAAGTAATAGGTATATAACAATTACTTTATATTCATATTTATTATATATGGAAAAAGCATGTATCACACTAAAAATGCAACAACATACTTGGAATCATATTTAGTATTAGAACAATTCTCTTATGAGATCGATTTTATAAAATTGCATCTGAGAAAATGCAGTAAATTGCAATTTAATATTGGAATTTAAAAACTACTTTAATATAGACAGATTTTCCAATAATAGTACAAGTACTCTTTTTTTTTATGTAATAAAAACGTCTTATTTATATTTCCTTAGTTGGTATATATATCCCAATATTTTATAACATTTAGCATGAAAAATATTTTGTAAAAGTCATATAATTAATGCATAATGTCTATATTTGATTATTGAATGATAGGAATGAAGTGCCATGTGAGCAGGCATTCAAATTTGCCTTCTTATTTAAATAATTCTTATTTAATTGTACAAATGTATCAAGGAACTGTCCAAGCATTCTTGAAATACATTGTGTATTGTGTTTTAATTATCAGTGATGAACACACCAATTAATACTCAACAACTTTTGGACGGGTCTTAACATAAACATATGCTGCTATTACAACAAATATCGCAGCAATTGTTGGTAATACAACTGTAAAGACACGTTGTTTATTCTCTAGAAATTCCTTTTTCCTTTCTTTCTTCTGTTTATTTGTTTCTTTTGTCTTTCCCTTCAATTGACGCATCTTCTTGCTACAAATAAAACATATGTGTTAATAAAATTCATTATTATTTAATAGAGCATTTTAAAATAAGTCAATATAAAGCAGCATGGTTATAGAGTACAAAATTATAATTAAAATATCCATAAATACTTGAAAATATCTATCAAATAAACTAAATAATGTGTATGATTTGTTACTACTCAATACAATATTTTAAAAGTCTTATTAATACACTACTACAAATGTCAATTTTTACTAAAGGATTATTTGTTATTCTAATCGCATTTTCATGTTTACTTCTTAAACTACTAAATAATAAAGTGCACTGAGCAGAGTTACACTGCATATGTTTATGACAGTTTTAAATACTATTAACATACACGCGCTTTCTAATAAACGAAAATAATACACTTGTACATTTTGTTATAAATAAATAAAAATGCAAATTTTAGTACCTTTAATAATTAAAATAAAGAAATGTTAAAGAACTGCAGAAGCTCGTTTCGGAATTCTCAAGCAATCGGGAAAAGCAGATTTACGTACATGACACGTAATAAAATAACGCTACCCTACCAATCGCAATCCTGTCACTTCCGTGTAGAGGTACTCAATTGAACTACGTTAATCAGTACACTTGATTCAAACTATGCATTTACATTGCATATAGTTTTATATACGTTTTCATACATAAAATTTCAAAAACTTTGATTTAATTTCTTTTATTTTAATTTTATGCTTGTTATTTCTTCGCAATAATACTAATTGTATTCAAAATTAAAAATGCGAAGTTCAACATTAAAATGTGTTAAGTTTTAACGAGTCACAGACTGGTATTATAAGAATCATTGCTATGATTGGTAGATAAATCGAAGCAAAAAATTTTATTTGAAAAAACTAAAAATTTAAAAATTGTATGTGAAATATTTTTCACTTCATTTTTTATATTTTCAGCATTTTAAACGCTTTAAACCAATTGATTATGATTATAATTTTTTAGAAGTTACAGATTTTACAGAACCGCTTGTTATTATCATTAATAATTTGGTAAAATAACATTAACGACGTACTACTATAAATTAGTGCTAATATGTTTAATTTGATATTAGAATAATTACATTTCTTAATTATTTTATTACGATAATAGTTGTAAAAATATAATTAGTTGGTATACTTCGTGTAAGATAAGGGGAATACCAGAAGTTATGAGTCAGTTTTAAGAAATGTATAGTTGTAATATAAGTAGAGACTTACATTTCATTTACTGCAGATGTAATATGCCTGGCACAGGGAACTTTATGAATTTTAAATAATATAAGGTACGATTTTATATTTTTATTAATAATTTTACTTCACCGTAATCAAAATATGTATTTTAAATATCAAATAAAGAATTAAATTGTAAAACATGAGATTTTGAGATAAATTGACGTATATGCAAATCGATGTTTGATTAAATATAAATTATTTATGTGTTTTAAATTACATAATTCCGAATTGATTTGGTAATTCTGGGAAGTTCCTAAAAAGCTAATTTCATAGATCGTAGATAAGATTATAGAATTGTGATACTAACAAATAAATATTTGACATTTTTATTTTACTAAAATAAAAGTGATCTATATGTTATATATGTACTCGTTGCGATAGATTTCAAGTAATTTATAATGAATTTATATTGTAAATTACATAATCATACATTAAATATTAGTTGTAAATATTGCGCGGTAAATCAAGGGAAAAGTATTTTATTATTCAAAGGAAAGAAGTTTATTATAATTGTTCCTTATATAATTTTCTAGTGAAAAAATAAAAATGTTTGAAAAATTTGTAAAACATAATATAACCAGTTGCAATGAGCAATTTTTTTGTCATTTATGTACATGTGTAAAAACAAATTTTGAAGATGTTTTGCATCACATTGATGATAAAAATCATCAAAAATTAAAAAACGACAAGCTAGATATCAAGGTACAAAATTATATAGAAGAAATACATCAGGAACATTTAGACAATGATGTGATAATAATTATACTACATAGTTTTATGTGCATACCTTGCCAAAAATATTTTATAGATTTAACTAGTCTATTGCAACATATTCTGGGTAAACGCCATATTAAAAACTTAAAGGATAAAGATATAAATTTCAATTGCATTGAAGTTAAAGGTGTAATATGTAATGGGTTAACAAGAAAGCTACAATATCATGAGCTAAAATTATTGTTGAAAGCTTCAAAAGCACATTGGAAACATGATATTAATAATGAATATAGTAAATATACACATTTGAAGGATTTTAAAACATTGTATAATTATTCAAATAAAGTCTATGAAACTCTTACAAATAATAGAGTAATTATGTATAAAAGTTATCAATTGATGTGTAGATTTTGTAATCATTGCTATAAAGTTCCAAAAGACATTTTACAACATATAGATGCAACAAAACATGCACATAAGTTTGAAAACACAAACATAAAATTGAGTGAAAGTAAAAATGAAGAAGTACTACATATTGAAAATGTTAATACTGAAACAAATGAAAAAATAGTGCAATTAAATTTGACTGAAATGAAATGTACAAAAAAAGATGCTGGTGTTGAATTATTGCAATATATAAGTAAAATTACATCTCAAAAACAAAATATAAATGATAAACATATTTTACCACATGTGCAATCATTGAAGAAACAAAGTGAACAAAGAATTACAACTATAGTTTCAAACATAAGTAAAATAAAAGGCAAGAATTGGTTAAAAATATTACACCAGACATTGCTGGATAATGGAATTATAATAAATGGATCTAATAATTTTTCATGTACATCATGTAAACGTGATATTATATCATTACATGATATTTTAACACACATCAAAGGAAAATCACATAAAAATATGTTAAAAAATCACAGTGAAAAGTTATGTATCTCAGACAGTACAAATATAAATCAAAAATATAGCTTAGATACCAAAACATGTACCACAGAAAATAATAAGATAGTAGATGAAAGTAAGTGTGACATTACTTTTCAGAATTGCATTTATACTTGTGAATTATGTAACAAAAAAATGAATATCAATAATTTATTTGAGCACAATAATACAGACACTCATAAGTGTAATATATTTTTCACAAGCATGGGAGTTAATATAATTTTCTTTAAATGTTTTTGTTGTAAATTAATAATACAGGGGAACAGATTGTTTATCAATCACTTATCTTCAACATCTCATTTAAATAATCTAACAAACCTTCTCATGTACCTTAAAACAAACAGTATTGAAACATTTACATGTGCATCTCATTATGTTAAAAATATTTTAGAAGATAAAAACTTTCCACTTTGTAATATTCTTATTCCAAAAGTACAAAATGCATATACACATTTTGAAGAAATATGTTTTATATATTTTGATATACAAAATATTAAATGCTATGATAATATACGAAATAATATTTTTTATACAGTATTTTGCAGTACAGCATTGAATGCAGATCACAATTTAATATATCACTGTCAAGCAAGAATGTTTTTATGGAAAATTAAGGAATTGCTTGGTCTAACAGAAATGCAGAATGAACAATCAAGTACTAATAATATTGCCATAATAACAGAACATATTAGCAAAGTATCTATTAATGATAAGAGAATAAACATATCAAATAAACCTGATAATGATTTCATTATAACAAGTGATATAGATGCAGAAATCAAAAACTGTTTAAATATTTCACCACTAAAATCAAAAGCAAAAAACAAGTTCATTAAAAAACCTGTATTAGAATGCTTAAATAAAAGTTATGATGAAAAATATTTCGAAATTGAAGATGAAATATATACCGTGGATAAACAAAAAATTAAATATATACAATTAAATTTAAAATTATTTATACCATGTGGTAAGAACTTTTATTGCATGGCCTGTAATCAAAGAGTTTCAACGAAATTATATTTACTGTATGAACATATGTGTTGTACATCACACAAACAAAATGTTTATAATGTTAAAATAAAAGAATTTGAAATGGCGAAAGAATATATGAAGATAGAATTAAAAAATTTAATAATGTGTTATTCTTAAAAATTTAATATTAAGAATAATACTAATAGTATTAATGCACATATTAATAATAGTATACATAAAGAAAGAAAAAAAATGTATGATGAATTTAAAGATAGCTATTTTAATTGTATAGTAGAAAATCTTAATACTTTGTGGTATAGTATTCAAAGATATTCTTGTGTTTTATGTAAAATAAATTTTAAATACAAAATGGAGTTTATAGAACATATTATGGCAAAACACAATGAACTTTTGAGAGACCACGTGTTTGACTTTTGTATTCCATGTACTACATTGTGGTTGGATACAAAAGACTCCTACACCGACCATTGTAATGACCTACTGCACAAATATTTAATAAAAAGTGAAGATTTCATGATTGAAAATCTTCCTGGATGTATGCACAAAATTTTAACTCAAGTTGATGAAATTTCTGATATTTTATTCAAAGAATCACAATTTTTATTAAATGACAGTATGCAACAGGAAGTGGAACAACTTTTAGAGAATAGCTTCAAATCACACTTTCCATCTGTCAAAGCATATTCGTTTGGTTCAAGAGTTACTGGACTTGCATTTCGAGACAGTGATATAGATATATATCTTGACTGTGGTATGTATACATCTTAAAAATATTAAGAATTTATAAAATTGTAAATATCATTTAAAATTTCTTATACTTTAATAGATGCTGCATGCTACCAAGATGAAAGTGAACATTTGGAAAACAATTACATTACAATTATTACACAAGTTTTACAACAACATACGAAAGAATGGGATGTGAGAAAAATAATAAAAAATGCAAGAATTCCTGTGATAAAATTAATATATAAACGAAAAAATATATACTGTGACATTTCTATCACAAATAGTCTTTCTGTTGAAAACTCTAAATTAATACGGTACTATTATATTCTGTTTTATTTTAAATTTATATATAAGTGGATAAATATGTTTATTTGAGTAATGTTGTATTTGTAATTTATTATAATTTTTAGGTCATACAATGATGCTTATCTACCTTGCAGAAAACTAATATTATTTATCAAGAAATGGTTTTCTTATTTTAATTTATCTACAGGACATAATTTTAAAAATTATGCTCTTACTTGGTTTGTTATATTCTACCTGCAATTTGAATCACATTTGGAGAGTGTTGCAGCATTAATAAAAAAGCAAAACAAATCTAAAGTGATATGGGGTAAAATATTTAATGCAATGGGAAGAATATATGAAATCATTGATAAAATAATTCGTACTTGTTTTGTTCATAATTACTTCATTTAAATACTTTACTTAATAAGCGCATCATTTATGTAGAGATAAAAATAATTTTGTATTGATATTTTATTTCAGGATGGGAAACTGGTGTTGCACAACCAGAACGAAATAATAAATCTGTACAACAACAATCTATTTCTACATTGTTAATAGGTTTTTTTAAGTTCTATGCAACTTTTGACTATCAACATTACATTATTTGTCCACTTATGGGTCAGCCTGTAGCAAGGCGAGCTTTTGCAAAGTTACATATGCTACCTGAAGAAATGATGCCTTATATCAAACATGTAGCTATATCTAAAAATCCAGAATATTTTCGTATTGACTCTCCATTATGTGTGCAAGATCCATTTGATTTATCTCATAATTTAACAAAGGCTGTGAGCAGTATTACCTTAAAATGCTTCAAACAATATTGTCAAGATAGTACATCTATATTATTGTCTTTGACAAAATAATTTTACTTGTATCATATATTATAACTTTATGACTGAAGTGGTGACTACTGCTATTAATTAGCGATAAGGAAAGTCGACGAAGCAGCGTTAAAGTGAATGTTTTTACAATGAGAAAATTTACGACATATACATGTATAATCAATATTTTTTAAGTAATTATCTGTTTAAAAGAAATTGTTATTTTTTGAATAATTTTTAACACGGTGCTGTAACTGTTAACAGTTTTTGAAGGGAACTTTTTTTTTTTGCAATTGTGCTACCAACTGTTCCTTTTTTTAAAATGAAATATTACCTCAT